GTGAATTCTAACTGACATTTTCCAATTACGAGAAAAGCGCGGGGGGAGGGGCAATCAGATACCAGAAGAACACGGGTGGCCGAGGGTATTAAAGGAAGACCCCTTGGTTCCAAAGGGGCCTGATAACCCCGTAGGCACTATGGGAACACAACGGGGGGGGGGGGAGCCAAAGAGGCTGCAGCATGCTTGCCCTGCCACCCCGACAGCTGCCCCAGAAGTGAAGGCTTTCAGTCTCATCATGGCTGCCCCTAGAAGATCACGGTTTCCCCAGGTAGACTGGGAGCACCCATTGTGGAGCACGGAGACTTTCCCGTTCAGTTTCTTCGGTGATGGATGTTTGGGAGGGGGTGTTTGTCCCCCTTCTCCCTGTAGTGATCCACAGCTGTTAGCAGTTTCCAAAACTGGTTGCAAAAATATTTGTGGCTGTACATGCAGATCTAATGTTCCAGCCCAGCACTAGGAGGGGGGTGTCCATGCCTCCCTTCCCGTGAGCCTCAGATGGACCTCATGATTCCCTCCAGTGAGAGGCAATGACAGTGATTCCCCCATGACTTTCAAGACCAGCTCATGAAGAAAGCGATGCCACTTAGCTGTTTCTCAAGACCTCCATGCTCCATCTGCAGCTGCCACTTTGTGAGGAAGCCCAGGCAGGAAAACAACAGTTATGCAGGAGTTGCCAGTGACAGCCAGCATCAGCCATTAAAGGTGGTGCACAACTTTAATCCCAGCCCTATGGAGGCACAGACAGGCAGCTCTCTGAGTTTGAAGCCAGCCGTGTCTACACAGTGGGTGCCAGGTCATTCAGAGCTATATCGTGAGACTCTGTCTCAAAATTAAAATAAACAGCATGTATGAGGACAGCTTTGAGATGCCCCGGCCACTGTCTCATCATTGTCCACAACTATGTGATGCATTTATGCAAGAGCATCTGGTTAGGGCTGGAGACATGTCTCTGAGAGTGAGGGTGCTTGGTGCATAGGATGAGGACCTCAGTTCAGACCTGAGTGCACGTGTGGATACGGAAACAGGGGGATTGCTGGGACTTGCTGACTGCCAACCTTGCTCCAGGCTCAGTGAGAGACCCTGAGAAGAGGGAAACAGAGTAGGACACACGACATCTTCCAGCACACACAGATGTGCACCCCTGCATGACCCGGAAAGTCTCCCCCCTCCCCCCCACATCTCTGTCCCTCCCTCCCTCCCCTCTCTCTCTCTCTCCCTCCATCCCTCCCTCTGTCCCTCCCTCCCTCTCTCCCTCCCCCCTCCCCCTCCCTGCCTTGCTCAGGGAGCGTCTGAACCAAGAGCCACCAAAAGCTCAGTTCCACATTCTTGGTGACTATCGTGTCTTCCTCCCCTGTTGCCACCAGCAGCCCAAATTCCCACCCAACTGCTTGGCTTTTGACCATACCTGGGCACAAAACCAGCTTGCAGCAGACACATCATCACCCCTTGCCTACAACCTATAAAGTCCCGCTGCTTTAGTTGGGGATGCAGCTTCTCCAGCTTCGATCTCTGGAACTGGAGAACTTGTCTGGGAATCGCTTTGCTAAAATAAACCTGTTGTTAGACTTTTTCACTTCGGCTTGATCTGGCCTACAGCATCAGCAGACAAATTTACTATGGGGCCGGGGAGGTGCAGAAAACCCATTACATACACCACACACTCATCCTCACCTTCATCATCAGTAAAATGCAGCTAAAATAACACCTCACTGACGTTGGTTTCCACCCAAACTGCAGAATTACGAGACAGAATAGTGACAGCACGGTGTGTCACGGCTGTCTCACAGCAACCCTTCTGGGTAGGTTCTAACACGATAGCTGATATCTCGAACACAGTCTGAAGCAGAAAGAGATCAAGCGTTTTAGAAATTACAATCTCTAAACATTTTTGTTCATGCAAACCCCTTAATACCGTGTGAAAATACATATATTCTCACACTTTTTTCTTGCCTTCTTAAATTTTTGTATCGGTTTAAATGTCTTGCAAAATAGATTTGGAGGCAAAACATGACATTATTCTGTAAATGAGCCCAAGGGGCTAGCTGTCAGGGTCCTTTGATAGCTGCTATCGACTGCATTAAAACACTCCCTGGGGGCAGGGAGGGGTGGCTGGAGAGATGGCTCAGTGGTTAAGAGCACCGGCCACTCTCCCAGAGGACCTGGGTTCAATCCCCAGCACGTACACGGCAGCTCACAACTGTCTGCAACTCCAGTTCCAGAGAACCTGACATACATGCGGGCAAAAACACCAATGCACACACAAAGAACAAAAAACCAGAAAACCACAGCGTGGGTCCTCGTGCTTCAGGAGTCAAAAAACGTCATTTTTTTAAATGCTCACCCCCAGCTTTTGTCTCTTCCCATTTTTCCCCGTTGGGAAAATTCTGAGACCTCAAAGCCCATCCCCACAGTGACAGGCTTCCTCCAGCAAGGCCACACCCACTCCAGCAAGGCCACACCTCCTAATAGTGCCACTCCTTGAGGCCAAGCACTCAAACACGCCACTGCATGGGGGCCATTCCTGCTCAAACCAGCACAGCTGCCATTCCAGTCCATACCCTAATCCCAGTTACAAAGTCACCTTTGCTGTGTGAAACTGACATTCCTCAGAGGTCTGGGGACATCTCTGGAAGCACATGCTGGATCTTACCCAGATCAGTGTTTCGGCTCTGGTGCCCTCCACGGAAGGTCTTGCTGCTTCCTTCTCACCCGCTGTTTTGCGTCTGCGCATGCGTGTGAATATGGAGGCTGGAGGAACACATGGAGTGTCTTCTAATTCTCTTTGCCTTATTTTTTTGAGAAAGGGTCTGTAACTGTGCCTGTAGTTCTCCAGGCCAGACTGCCTGGCCAGAGAATCCTGGGATTCACCTGTTTCTACCCCACGATGCTGGGGCGAGAGGCATGTCCAACCACACCTGGCTTTTTATGCGGCCGTTGAGGATTTGAACTCTGGTCCTCTTGCTTTCACAACAAGCACCCTTACCCGACTCCAACCCCTACATTTTACAATCAGGTAATACTTTTAACACCAGGCTTAGCTATAATCCTTTAACGACTGGCTAATAAAACAATAACTGGGCCAGGACAGAGTCCTGGCCCTGAGTGTCGAGCCCTCGCCTTTTGTGCTGCTTTGGAGTTTGTCTGGACGGGCAGTCACCGGAAAGTTAAAAACTGATGCCGGGGGTAAAGAAGATGAAGCTGGAGACGTGTGTCTCCGCTGCCAGAGTGCTTGCCTAGCATGCGTGAGGCCCTGGGTTCAACAGTGCAGAAGCCGAAAGTACCCATGGCAGGTGGCAGAGCCGGGTGCATGTATGTGTGGGGAATGGCACATGCGCATTCGTGCGGGTGCCCTTGGAGGCCAGAAGAGGGCATCGGATCTCCTGGAGTTGCAGTTAAATAGTGAGCTGCCCTGCGTGGGAGCTGGGAGCTGGACTCAGGTCCTCTGGAAGAGCTGGAAGAGTTCTCAATCACTGGGCTGTCTCTCCAGCGCCTCATGTGCACGTATGTATGCATATATGTATATATGCATGTAGACGTATGTATGTGTATATGTTTTAGCAAAAGTAGACTCGTGCTATTTCACAGCTAAGGCAGAGAATGAAAGGTGGAAGAGTATTATGGCAAGAAACCTTGGAGATTAAAGTGGAAAGGTAGAGGTTTTGAGAAAGATGGATTCTTTTTGATTCCCAGGATAACAACAATAAAAATATATTGTAAATGAGGCATTCGGCTTCAGCAATTGTTTCGATACAGTAATTATAGCTATGAAAATCCTGAGAGGAAACAACCCACATCAAACGTGGAAGCAAATTAGCTTAATGTGCTTTCTCTTGCAAATAAGATCTACCTCCAGGTTAATAACTGGTCCATTTTGCAGACAGCCTGTCGGAGCTGGTAAGTGAGGCATTGTCCTGTTGGCCTCTCAGACGTCCATCACCTGAACACTTGCTTACTAAGTTTCTTGGATGCACTTCCCTTGGCTCTTTTTTTGGGGGGGGTGTATATGTATGTTGGATATGCATGCATGTATGTATGTGTGTGTTTGCATGTGTGTAGTCACACACATGTGAAGACTTGAAGGTGTCGTCAGGTGTCTTCTTTGCCAATTCCCCATTTAATTTATTGAGGCAGGGTCTCTCGGTTGAACCCAGAGCTCGCTCATGGACCAGTCTAGGTAGCCACTTGTTTTGGACATTCTCTGTCTCTGCCTCCTGAGGACTGGGGTGACAGGTGACTGTGGCACCTGCTTGGCTTTGACATAGACTCTGGGGATCTGAACTCAGGTCCTCATGTCTGTATGTCATGCTTTATCCACTGTCCCCTGGGTTCTTTTGAGTCAGAGATCCCCAGCAAAGTGGAGACGGAAGCTAGCTGTGTGGGGTGGCAGAGGCAGGAGGACTGCCAATGTGAGGTCACCTTTGGGCTAAGGACCCTGTCTCAGATACCAGACCGCTGGGCATGGTGTGCTCATGGCTGTAGCCCTACAACATGAGAGGTGCAGGCAGAAAAATCAGGAGCTCAAGATTCATCCTGGGTTACAAGTTCAAGGACAGGATAGGCTACATGAGACCCTGCTTAAAACCCAGCCAACCAAAATACACAGAGAGAGATGCACACATGTGTACTCACACACGCACCCCCCCCACACACCTGAGTAGGCACAGCATCACCGTCAGGATAACCTGTGTCTGCCCATGCTGTACGTCACAACCCAGCCTTGCAGGGCCACCTTGGGGACATGCTATTTTATTCATGCCTTTGATTCTAATACTGATTTCAAGTATTGTGAAACTGTCACGGAATCAAAATTTGTGATATGGAGTTTGAATGTTGCCATTCTGCTTTATCTTTAATTATTTTTTTTAAGCCGAGTATACGAGCAGGTGGGTATATTGTGAGTGAGAAACCCGGAAAAGGTGTTTGCTACTGCAGTTTGCTTCTGTTATTCCTGCCGAACCCTGCAGGGGGCCCCGCCCTTAAGCAAGGGAACAAGGAAGGCTGTCAGCCAGCGTCTCCTTCTGACTTCTCCAGCCTGCCCGGTTCCTGCGGTGCTGTCCCCTGCCCCTTGTCACCGTCTTGAGGCGCCACACTGCTGCCTTTGCAGTCTTGAACCTTCAAACGTCTTGTGCCCGGCCGGAGGACACAATTGTCAACGAATCCTCGAACGCTAACGGGTCACCAGAAAAGCGCTGCAGGGAATACCTCCAGCCCTTGGGGTGTGGTGGAGAGAGCAGGCTCGTTACTGGCTTGGGCGAGGGGCAGCCATTCTCTGTTCTGCCCTCTGGAGCGGGTGCTGCACCGCAGGCCGGGATGATGAAGTGTGGGGTGGGGCTTCTGGGAACCACAGACAGACAGACAGAAAGCCTCAGGAGGCTGTGCCCCTACGGCATGGCCTAGGAGAGCTGGCCGCGCTGCTCACCCGAGGAGGTGGTCCCGGTGACCCTGACACCCAGCTCAGCTACCACCCAGACCCACGTCCTGGGCCTTGGGGTGGCCCACCCTGACATCACCACGTCTATGACCTGCTGGAGTGCGTCAACAGACTGGCCCTGAGGAACGATGGCCACGGGATCTCCATGACTCCGGGAACCACGGGATATCTGAGAGGAGTTTTGGTGAGGGTCCAAAGCGTGTGGCAGAGGCCTTGAACCAGACAGTGACTCACTGCAAAGGACATTTTGTGGGCGGGGCTGATTGGACAAAAGGTTATACTTAGTGACACACCGAAGCTCTTGAGGTCACCAGGGTGAATGAAGAGGTGTTGGAAAGATGGAGAGAGGTGGCGCTGTGTGTGTGTGTGCGCATGTGCGTGCATGAGTGCGTGTGTGTGCGTGCATGTGTGCGTGTGTGAGTGTGTGTGCGTGCGTGCATGTGTGTGCGTGTGTGTGTGCGTGTGTGTGCGTGCGTGCGTGTGTGAGTGAGTGTGCGTGCGTGTGTGAGTGTGCGTGCATGCGTGTGTGAGTGTGTGTGTGTGCATGTGTGTTGTTTTTAATTGATTTTCGGGGTTTCTGTTGGAGAGCGATGCTGCAAGGGTGAGGGAAGGATATGGATGGATGGGAGGTGAGCAGGATTGGGGTTCATGATATGAAATTCCCCAAGAATCATTTTTTTTAAAGAGTCCTGGTGACATCTGCCTTGTTGTCCTCTATGGGTGTGGTTCAGGACCCTAGGTGAGTCCCAGAAACTTGGAGTGGAGCCCCAGGTACTCTGTGTTTTCCACCACAGACATAAGCGTGGTAAGGTCACCTCAGGGAGACACAGTGTGCATGTGTTTAACTAGTAAGTAAGACAATCATAACATTCGGTGCTAAAGTTATTTAGAGCTATGACTTATTTCTGGAATTTTCCATTTACCATTTTCAGACCACAGTTGACCTAGGGAAACATCCATCTAATGTGGTACTCTGGGTAAGTGGTGAATTTTTCTTTCTGGCCACTGACTTTTCCTTTCAAGGCGTTTCATTTGCTTCTCTCCATCGACCTCTGTCTCTTTGCTGCATGTCTCTGTAGGACTGGGGTGTCCCTGGGGGCAGTGTCTGCGTGCGGCCCCACCCACATGGCTGGGATTACTTCCTATCAGCTGATGTTTGCAAGCACAGATTACATATTTGCCTCTAGAGGACTCTCAGAAACCATCATCAGGAAAGAGTGGAAATTAGTTCTCAGTGAGGGCATTTCAGATCAGATCAATCAGCTTGGATTAAATTCAAACAAGATTTTTCACTTTAAAAAATTTTTACTCTAGGGAGTTACAATTTCAATCGACGTTTTTGTTTGTTTGCTTTTTGGTTTTTCAAGACAGGGTTTCTCTGTATTGTTTTTGAGGTTGTCCTAGATCTTGCTCTGTAGACCAGGCTGGCCTCGAACTCACAGAGATCCGCCTGCCTCTGCCTCTCGAGTGCTGGGATTAAAGGCGTGCACTGTTAAGAGAAGCTTTTTCTTTGCTAGCTGCTTTGGTTTATCCCCCGCCAGCCGCCTGGGCTCTGCCGCATTGTAGTCCCCAAATAAACACACAGGAGGCTATATTCATTATGAAGCTGTTGGCCTTGCTTGTTTCTTACTGGCTAGCTCTGACTTAAGTAATTACCCCATAATTGTTAATCTAAGTATGTCTCTTACCGGAGAATAGTTCCGGGCTTCCTACCCCATGGCGTTACATGTCGACTCTCTTTGTTTCTCCTTCCCAGAATCCTCCTGGACTCCTAGTCCTACCTAACTAGATTCCTATTGGCTCAACAGTACTTTATCGACAAAGGACTTCCCCAACAGTGCACCACCAATGCCCAGCTGCAATCGACGTTTTTAATGTGTGCATTTTTTTAATTGATTAGCTTCAGGAAGCTCCGATAAAATCAGGACACTAAGAATGGCCATTCCTTCCTGTGCCTGGCTTTGCTTCTGTGGGAGTTTTGAGACAGAGTTTGAGGAGATGTTCAAGTTTTGGTGAACTTTTTTCCAGAATCATGAAGCCGCTTGTTGCTGGCTTTGAAGCTGATGGAAGACTCAGTTGCTTTCCCTCACATGAGGGCTCTAGATAGACATGTTCATGTGTGTGTGCACATGTGTGTATGTGCATGTATTACCTTTCACATGTGTTCGTGTGTACATGCATGTGTGTTTGTACATGCATGTGTATATGTGTGTTTATGAATGTGTGTCTGTTCATGCATGTGTGCACGTGTGTATGTGTATGTGTGTGTGTGAGGCATGAACTAGAAAGGAGACCATGAGGGGAAGAAGAGGTCTAAAGGAGGAGGGGAGGGAAGGATAAGAGTGATGGAATGAATGCATGCAGCCTCAAAGCATGGGGGATGCGGGGCAGCACAAGGGGGGGACAGTAGGGGGCGTGAATAAAATATATCTTAAAATTACATTTTACAAAACAATATTTTGTTTGTGAAACAAAGTTTACAATACAGCCTCTAGGTGGAGAACTCTGTCAAACTCCACTCTGACAGATGCACCCATGTGCATTGTGTCCTGCAAATGGCCAAGGGGGGGTGGGGGGGTTGGGGGAGTGCGGATGCAGGGGAAGGACTTCTCTAGGTCTGGGCCACTTTTGCTTTTTGCCTTCCTTTGGTGGGACTCACGGTGGGGACCTGAGGTAGCTACACAGCCTCTTGTCAGGTGTTGAAGGAACTCGGAGACCTGCCAGTCAAGGTCAACCTGCCTGGAGTGAACAATGGAGTCAGTGACTTGTCCACAGCTAGAGCCTTGCCTAAGGGGACCAGAGAGTCTCTGCGTGCGTGCGTGCATGCATGCGTGCGTGCGTGCGTGCGTGCGTGCGTGTGTGTGTGTGTGTGTGTGTGTGTGTGTGTGTGGCGGGGGAGTGAGGGAGGACCCAGAGCTAGTTTGGTTTTTACCTTCCGCTCTCTGTCCTCCTCTTTATTCTGCCCCCTCCTAACCTTCTCTAGTAGTCCTTGTCATCAACTTGTCATACCATTATTGTTACCCTTGCTGTTGTTCTCCTTTCCAAACATGGGAGAAATCACACACCTTTTAGCCCTCTGCGTCTGACTTACTGTATTCAACAAGCTGGCTTCTGGTATCAAGTGTTTCACCATCCGGAGCCTAACAGCTCACCCTGGGCAGGTGGGGGCGGTGAACGGTTCATTATCCCCCTTAGTCATCCAGTTTTAGGGTAAGTTGGGGGTCAGCAAGAGGGCTCAACAGATAAAATCTTTCCTATGAAATCCTGGAGATTTAAGTTCTATTCCCGGAATCCCGTACCCCGTAAAGGTGGAAGAGGAGGACTCACCCCACAAAATTCTCTCCTACCTCTACATGTGTGTGTGTGTCAATCCCACTGGGTGAGAATAAGACCACTACCACAGTTGTTTTTTGTTTGTTTGTTCTTTTGAGACAGGGTTTCTCTGTGTAACAGCCCTGGCTGTTCTGGCTGTCCTTGAACTCATAGAGATCCCCCTACCTCTGCCTTCCTAGTGCTGGGATTAAAGGCGTGCACCACCACCACCGGCAATTACAGTTTTTGAGCTACATTTGAAGCAGTAGCAACAACAACTAGCTGATGTCGTTAAACCTCTGTGAATACCCGAAGAGCTCTTTCCCTTTTCCCTCCTCTTGATCCTAACTGAACTTTTCATGCACTCTGCAGGTCAGGCATATCTCTCCAGCAAGCTGCTTTCTCCTAGGCAAAAGGCTGCAGATAACACTGACTTTGCAGCCTAAGCGTTTTCAGTGGCCAACTAGAAACGTACTTTCCAGGACAAACAGAAAACAGCTAACTGGCTTACACTTTCAGTTCAGTGGTGAGACTTTACATGGCCCTCATTTCTCTCATGAGGAAAGTCTTGGGTACTGGTAACACCAACCACATCTTTATCTTACAGTAGACGCACAACGATTCCACCGTCACTGCTAACATCATTGCTGCGACATGAGGTCTGATTTCTCTGCAATCCTTTGCCCTGAGAGCAGGTGTCTGGGGACACAGGCTGGAGCTGTGTTGTGTGAGCCCCTACTGGGCGTTGGTGACTCACACCTGTAAACCCAGCACTTGGGAGGTAGACGCAGGTGTACCTCTGTGAGTTCAAGGCCAGACTGGGCTACATAATGAATTCTAGCCTAGTCAGAGTTACATAGTGTGACTCCATGCCCCCACAACCCCACAGAAAATCATGAGGAGAAAACAAACAGGAAGAAGGGAAAAGATGCTAAATCCATTAACCTGGTATAGTATTAATTCATAGTTGGGCAAATGTAACTTCTGGGTAGATTTCTAGGTTAGGGTCAGCGGGGCTAATGAACAGGTGCATATGTAGCATTACAGGACAGTTTTCCTCAATTTGATGTAAACTAGAGTCCTCTGGGAAGAGGGCATCTCTGAAAAAATTTGCCTCTATCACATTGGCCTGAGAAACATGCCTTGGGGCATTTTCTTGATTAATGACTGAAGTTCCAACCCACTGTGGGCAGGCGGTTCTAGGATGTATAAGAGAGCAAGCTGAGCCGAGCGGTGGTGGTGCATGCCTTTAATCCCAGCACTCGGGAGGCAGAGGCAGGCGGATCTCTGTGAGTTCGAGGCCGGGCTGGACCGACAGTTTCCAAAACAATACAGAGAAACCCTGTCTCGTAAAAACCAAAAAAACAAAACAAAAGAAAGCAAGCTGAGCTTGAGTGGCAGTGTGTACCCTTGGTCCTAGTACTCCAGAGGAGGCAGTTAGATCTCTGTAAGTCCCAGGCCAGCTAAACTACATGGTGAGACCCTGTCTCAAAAAATAAAAAAATAAAAATAAATAAATAAAATTGAGTAATGGCATTCCTCTGTGACCTGTGTTTGAGTTCCTAAAGCATCACTGTGGTAAAGATCTTCTGGGAAGAAAGAATTTCCTTAGGGTCAGTAGTCAGAGCTGTGGTCCAGAGCATCACAGGCTGACCTGGTAATGTGTGGTCTCTCCCACGTGGTAGTGGTCTTGGCAGCACTGAAGAAATCTGGAGTATTGAAGGGGTTGTGGAGAGAAGCCGAGGTTTGGCACCAGGTGGCAGGGTTGGAGTCCCTGAAGAGAGTGGAGAAGGCCATTGGTAGAGCCTCAGTCGCAGGGGAAGTCCCGGCATACCGGAGATGCCAGGGCGGTGAAGTCCACCAAGGACAGTTGCAGGTGTGGAGAGGGGTGTTCTTAGCCTGTGAGACAAACTGTGTTTGTTTCCTATGGGCATTTTATTGTACAGTTGGATGTGTAGACAATTACCCTGATTAAGAACAGACATGCCTAATACTCACTTGCTGCCTGTGAAGAGGCCTTAGCTGCGGCTGTCGGCCCAGCCCTCCTCACATGGCTCTCTTCTCTCCTCACGGACGCCCCTCCTTGTGCCTCTCGCTTTGCGATGTCTCTCTCCTGTGTTCGGGTTCCTCAGGCCTGTCTTCCAGTTCATCCATCCTTCCCTCAGTAGTTCCTAACCTGGATTTTTAACAGGGGCATGGAGTTTTGAGTTTCAGTGACTATATCCCATTTTATTCTCTTTGGGATCTTACTGCTTTTAAATGGCGGGTTTCTGTGTGTGTGTGTGTGTGTGTGTGTGTGTGTGTGTGTGTGTGTGTGTGTGTGTGTATGGTTTTCTCATTGAATGAGAAAGAGAAATAGAAAAGGAGGACAGGACTGCACCTAGGTTCGAACGGTGGAGGAGAAAGTTTCTTGTAGGTGAGAGGGAGTGTGTAGCTAGAGGCAGGGACTTCTGGGAGAGTCCAGGGTGAGCATGACCCTGAGCCAAGTGAGGAGGGGGGAGGAGAAGGGGGAGGGTGGGAACCAGGCGCAGCCCTGAGAGGGCAAAGGGTACAAAGGGGACCGGTAACCAAAATGTCCAGATTATACAGAGGGCAGCTCTGGAGGGAGGGCAGCCCAGCCCCAGGCTGGAGAGTTGTGGGATGGGTAGAGGATGGGGTAGGCCAGCCACACCCCGTAACAGGTAGGGAGTGGGGGATGCTGGGAGAACCTGGGGGCCAGGTCTGCTTTGAAACGTTAAATAGACACCTTGGGCCATTTGTCCCAGGGCTTGAGACGTAACCCTTCAACTGTTTTTTTAAACTATTTGTTTGTTTGTTTGTTTGTTTTCATTAATGAATTGTTTCCAGTCAATGTCTTTTTTCTAATCACTTTGCTGCTGTTCATCCTGTAGGCCCTGTTTAGTTCTGCCTTTTGATCTTCATCTTCTCTGTATAGGCTGCTTATCCTACACGGTGCGATGTCTGCAGGGTCGGTTAGGGCTTCAAAGTATAAGTGCCTCTCACCCCGCCACGAAATGGGAGGATTCTGTGCCTTCTCTCTCTCTCTCTTTCTCTATCTATCTATCTATCTATCTATCTATCTATCTATCTATCTATCTCTTTCTCTCTCTCTACCAAAAAAAAAAAACTTCACTTTTGTCAGTCAGGTAGTCAGGGTGCCACCCCCGCCCCAATCTTAATTCAATCTTAATTAACTCTTTGTGTCCCAACTCCGGATCAGAGCAGTCGTCGGATGTGAATTTGAGAAGTGCTCCATTCCTGTGCTGAGGTGGGCTGGGGTATGTGCACCTTGACACAAAAGTCCAGGTTCTTGGTGTCTGAAGCAACAGATTGGACAAAACACAGGGGTCATTTATTCACGTGTACAGTTAGGAAAAGTCAGAGTTTAGCATAGGCTACGTTGTGCAGAATGGAGGTTGGCCAGAGTAAGCTCTGGGTTCTTCATAGGATTTTGTTTTGTTTTGTTTTGCCTTCTAATGAATCTAGGTGGAGGGAGGAGGTGATCGGAAGGTTTGGGAATGGGGTTGATCCTAACCTGATTGATAGATGAGCTGTTACATAATTTAGGACGGTGGGCATATATCCATAATTTCAAGCATATGTAGGACCCATCCATGCATACATTGTGAGATGATAAATAGGGACAGTCACACTCACGTAGCTTATGCCCAGTGCCAGTTTAAGTTGGCCTTGTTTATCTTTGCTACCAGGAAATGCCCGACCCCAAAGTATCCACAGGAGGGGCCTCTGGGTGTGCCGTGCAGTGAAGAGGCAGACACACGTTTCCAAGGGGACATGCCCCGGAGACGGACTGTTTTATTGGCCTGTCTCAGACCAGGCTAATGCTTCTTGTTTTTGTACAGTCTGCCTCCCCAGCCTGCCACATCTTGTCTTCAATTGCACAGTGCTCGCTGACTCTCTGTCCTTTCTTTGTGTGTCCCCTTAGGAAATCTCTTCATGGTGCCCACTTCACGACACAGAATGACCAGTCCTAGGCTTCTTGGAGCATCTTGCTGCCACTGCAAGTCTAACATGTGCTGTGTGACTCCTCCTGGGAGATGTAAAGAAATGTCTATGCAGGTGGACATAGAGGGCGCTCATAGATTAGAGATTCCATAAAGGGTTTATTGCAATTATTTACTTACCAGCTCATAGACAATGCACAGGCAGGGGTCTACCTGGAAGCCCGTTGGTGGCGGGGGTGGGGGGGTGGGGGGAGGGGGATGGGGGTGTTGACTGGCCTCTCAGGCCAGGGTCTTCTGACCCCCTTCTCCTTCTGTGTGGGACAATTCTCAGGCTCACTGTTGTCACCAGAGGGCTAGCTATCAGCCTGAGTGTTCTGTTTATGACACTTAGGGTCAAGGTCTTCTATAGGTTACTGTCATCGCTCTGCTTCAGGAAAGCATGGCCTCAGGGAGCTCCCAGGGAATAGCTGTGTTGTGCTCCATCATAAGACAGGGGAAAAAAGTGTCAAAGTCCAGGTGGGTTCATGCCACAGAGACACCCAAAGCCTGGAGCCTTCCTTCTAACACAAGTGATGAGAACTCCAAAGGTACCTGAGGGGGGATTGTGTAGTTCCAGGGTAAGGGATCACTGAATTTTAGAATTTCATCATTTTGGGTTTTTTTTTTTTCGTTGTTGTTGTTGTTGTTTGAGACAGGGTCCCTCTATGTAGCCCTGTCTTTCCTGGAACTCATTATAGACTAGGCTGGTATTGGACTCACAGAGATCTACCTGCCTCTGCCTCCCGAGTGCTGGGGTTAAAGGCGTGCCCCACCACCAGCTTGAAAGAGTACTAAACTTATTGCTGTTGGATCGGCTCTACCTGGAAGCAATGACAGACGGAAGTGGTTTGTCCACAGCCTGGCTGTGTGACACATCCGGGACCAGTTTCTGTACCGTGGAAGGACTAGCTGTCCTTCCCTTTAGGATTTGACCCCAGCATTGGGCACTGAGAACAAACTGACCACTCTCGTCCTTCGTTCTAAAACCGAGTGTAGGGTAGCACAAGGAAAAAGTCTCCTTTATTTCTCAAAATTACAAATAAAATCCTGGGTTTAACTGGATCTGTGGTAGATATAGCCACAAAACCAAACAACAAGTCCGGCATCATGCTGGAGTCAGAGTTATTTTAGAAACAACACCTTGTTTAAGAACAGAGAGAGCTTGCTGAGAAAAATACCATCAAGGGCTCAGGCGGTAGCTGAGACCTTAGGTTTGGTTCCCAGTACTGCAAATCAAATACATCAGGGAAAGGAAATTTAAAACTTATGTAATGAAAAAAAAAAGAACAAATGAAGTATGAAAATGTTGCCACTGTGTTATGATTTTAAATTCTCAATATTACCAAAATTAATAAGTCGAAAGAAAAATTTCAAAAATTGGTCAACTGCACACGAACCGTCTGGACCCACATCTTACACAGTGGAGGGGGAAACAATTCAGGAAAAGTAAACGTTAAAGGCAAAGGTAGAGACAGGAGGGGCAACTTGCTGCTAAAGCCTTCTGGGGGGTGGAACGGTTTTACGTACACGTGCTAGAGGCAGAGTCTTTAAGGATGACATCATTTCTAGAAGGTTACATGGCCAGGATAATGCTGCAGACCAAGTCACCTGCTCCCAGCACCCGCGCCCGGCGCCAGCAGCGATCCTCATGTTTGCCAGCAGGTGGCACTCGGCCTCCATGGCGCGATCACCTGCAGTCACACGTCCCCTCAAAAAGGTTCCACTTTTCCAGAGCTGCGGCGAGTCATTCACGTGTGGCGAGCGGTGTTAGTTGTCCAACGACCCTACAGGTGCTCCGAAGGGCCCTGTCGTAAGATAGCACGGTTGCACTACAGGGTCAGGTCCCCACTGCCACCCAGGCAGAGGATGAGAAGGGGCAGTCACCGGGCTGAGGTTAGGGGTGGGGCAGCAACTTGCACTGGTGCTTCCCTCCCGCTTTGGGGGAGGTCGGGGCCGCCGCGCATGCTGGGTTGGCCGGGTGTGCACACACAGGGGCTATGGTAAGCAACAGGTGACTAGTATTTTGGGCCGCTGCCTCGGCCGCCTGGGCAGTCTCCAGCCCAGGTGTAAGGGCCAAAGCTTGCATGCCCTGGTGTAATCATTAAGGACGAAACCTGCCCCGCAGGAAAGAGGCGGGACCACCGGAACCGAAGCTGCCCCTCCTCCACTCTCCGTGATGGATTTGGTGTCAGGGGCCAGGAAAGACCTCAGCCAAAGCAGACTAGCAGGCGCCACCCAAACACCTGCTTGGCCTAGAAAGTGGCACCAGGTGAGGCATGCACACTGGTGCCCCTTGTCCCATCCTTTCTGTAGACTGTGCCATCTTCCAGAAACACCCCACCACACGTCACTGCCAACTTGGGGACAGAATCTAAACACCCGTAGTATATGCATAGTTAAATCGATGGCCGGTGTCCTCAGCGATCAGAGAGGCAGGTGGAAATACTGGTGTTACTTTTTTTTTTTTTTTTGGTGAGTGGGAGGGACTTATCCATCTCTAGCACCTTCCTTCTGCTGTCACCGGTGAGGCGCACTTAATAGCCATGGGACTGGGAAAGCAGCTGGCCCAGGCAGGCTTGGGTGAGCCACAGGTGGAGGGGGAGGGGGAGTTCCGGTCAGGTATGACAGCTTAATCCCCAGGGGCAAACATGACAGTCGAGGCCCCTTCTCTTCTCCCTCTAAATCTGGATCTTGCTTCAAGTGTCTTTCCAGACACCCAGACACTAGTCCTTGTGGACTGTCAATGACACAAATCCTGTTTTAAGCCCTGTCCCAACACACAGGCTCAGAACCAAACTGCTAGTGTGTAGTCCCCACGATCTCTAACAGCAACAATGTCTGCTCTGCTGGGCTAGCCTGGAACACTTGTATGATAAGTGGGGGGACGGACAGTGAAAAGGATGTGGCCCAAACAAGCACTGGCCATCTCAAAAACCATTCAGAGTCCAGGTATTGACTTCAGACACATTTTATTATAATCTTAATACAGTCTACATAGATTTGAACTGGTATTTATTTGGGTTCCGTTATAACATAGCATCATAAAAAAAATCAAAGCACTGGTTTCTGAAATAAAGCAAGCATCAACATTCAATAGACACACGATTTATTTTGTATAAAAGGGTTAAATTTACAACTAAACTTTTATAAAAAGTTTAGCAGAAGTACGTCATTACATTTTTATGCAGAAATGAGCATTTCTGCCACTATACAAGAAAACTCTAGTTAAAGAGTCCACAAGGTTTCACTCTCTATATATATTTATATATAAATATATACACAGCATTCAGTAGGCTCGCGTCAAATAGGCCATTTCTGACCAAAGACTTCATTTAAGTAACCGAATACTGGGTCCTTCGGGTAATCACGCTCCACCTTTGGAAAAAGGTAAAGTCTGCTTCGATTAGGCAATTCCTTGTGAGTTTTAACGTTTTCGCTCCCCATGGTGGGAATAGTATATAAAGAAAACCTTCCAACTGTAGAAAGGGCATTGAAAGTCTCTCATAAATAACGGTATCACAGTCCGGGCCGGAGAACTCCTGGGGAAGATGGTCACTCTCCCTTTTCCTTCCGTTTGCTTTTCTTGTTAAAAAGGTCCATTCAAATTGTTCTCCTGGTGAAATGGTTGGAAAGAAAAAAAATCAAAAAGTTCAGCAACTTAACAGATCCTGTAGACTTCTTGTTGTGCAAAAAAGAAAAAGAGAAAGTAAAAAGAAAACAGTCCCCAGATGCCTGCAAGAGATTGGGAGAGAAAAGCAGCTTAGGAGTAAGTAACCTAAGGGCAGCGGCGGGCGGGCAGCCTGGCGCCAGGAAAGCCGCAGTTTGAACATTTAAACCAAACCCTGGCGTCCAGATGCAGAACACACATACCCGGCCTCCACAGCACAAATTAAACATTAAAACAGCAGAGACTCAGGGGGAAACTTCCCAAACCCAGTCTCCTGTTTGGATCTCTAACAGCCCGCTACAGGCGCCAGTATGCTTCTTGTACCAATTATTTGATTGAAAACAGTCCTTTGGTCAACAGATAGGGAAATCTGGATCCCAGAGCAGAGGGCAAGGCTCAGCGTAGCAATCCTCAGCTGGCTAGAGAAACCTCAGCAGTTTTGGGAAAGGAGAATCACTATGGAATTTGTGGCGATAAGATTAATTACAGCCGAGGTTCGTACCTCACTGTACCACCGCTGGGCTCACAAAAGCCAGTAATAACACTTAGTCCTGCCATAAGTTCTCTCTCTCTCTCTCTCTCTCTCTCTCTCTCTCTCTCTCTCTCTCTCTCTCTCTCTCTCTCTCTCTCTCTCTCTCTCTCTCTCTCTCTGCCTGTCTGTCTGTCTGTCTTTCTTTCTCTTTTAAAGGCAAATGTTCTGTAATCCCGAGCTACCACAGCTACAAGCCCCTTCATGCCTATTTGGTAAGACAAGAGGCACCCATAACACAGCGAAGTAGGCATGCATTTACCAAATCAAACATTTTATAGACGCACACAAACACATTACCAAAACGCAAAACGCGCACACAGGAGGAGACACCCGCAAACACTCACCATTTATTCAGCCACAGAGTACTTTGCTATCGTTGGACATAAGCTCGGAAGGGAATTCAGATGCCTGGAGAGAGAGAGGATAAAAGGCAGGATATTAGACAATCTTAAAAGACAGCCTCCCTCCTCCTTTTACGAAAGTGCCAAGTCCCATTTAACAGGTTCAAGCTACAAGGCAGATCCAGACGCAGCCCACACAGAAGAACTTAAGAAGCGATCTCACGTGAGGCTCGATGCACGGTTTCCTTAAAAATAAAGTTAATGAGCCCGGGCTTTTAAGAGTGACAGGTCGGGCGACCCGTAGCTCAGGGACAGCGGGGTACTGGCGAGCGAGTCTCACCTGCAAGGACAGAATGCTGATGTCCGTGTTCAGGGTGGTCAACGGCGTCCTGGACGCCTGGTTCTGTCCAGGTCTCTGGTGGTGCAGGCTGACGATCGTGGGGTGCGAGTCCAGGGCGATCTGCAGGTCCAAGATGTAATCGATGACGTGCTGCAGGATTTCCATCTTGGTCACCTTCTTGTTCTGCGGGATGCTGGGCACCAGTTCCTTGAGCTTGGAGTAGCAGTCGTTCATGTTGTAGAGCAGGCTCATCGGGTCGTCCACCGGGGTTTTGCTCCGGGAGATGCCCAAGCCGTGGTCCGACAGGCTGTTTTTCCTAACGGACCTCACCGGACTGAAGGCTTTCATGCTGCTCTTAGGAGGAGAGGCCGGGAGGGAGCCGCCGCAGGGGGCTGAGCTGGCTGCGCGGCACCTGGCTCGGCTCAGAATGAAGCGCGAGCCGGGCGGGGCGGCTTTTATGTGCACTCGCCCGGGCCACTCGATCCGGCATCCCTCAGCCGCCATTGGTGGAAAGCGTCCCGTCCATCATGCCGGGTGAGCTCTCCTATTGGTGAGTGCGAGCGCTCGGTCCTTCCGTGTTTGCAGCCAATGCCCGTGGGGTGGGAGGAGCGCGCGCGAGCCCAGCTGGGGTGGTAAATTGAGTACAGTGTGCGCTGGTAGACCAGGGGGCCCGGGTGTGCAAATGTGCACGCCTGATTCCAACCCCCAGAGCGGTAGGACCCCCCCCCGCCCTGGGGGTGTGCCTGGAGCAAGCCATCCCTGCCCGGGGGCTGCCTGCTGCCCCAAGGTCTCCGCTCAGCAGAGGGGAAGTCATAGGTCGCTAGCGTCAGGGAAGACAGCGACCTTTGCTGAAGGGAAAAGAAGCGCGCCGTTAGGAAGTCACGTTTGCAGAGCGAGTTCCTTCTTTTAAGGTCAAGAAAAGCTTTGTTTGAGAGGGGGAGGAAAAGAACTACCCAGGTACACATTCAGGATAGGTTTAGCGTGGGGCTTTGCAACTTGGAGCAACGCGGGAGGCCTTCTGGGAAACTCGGTGACAGGAGTGTTGTAGCGAACACTGTGCGGTCTCCCTCAGACCGCAGAGGAGCCCCGAGGGACCCAGCACGTTCTGGATTCTTTCCCCCCCCTCCGCCCCCCAAGAATGAGGCAGGGTTGGTATAATGACTCCATTAATCGGGGGTCATTAGTAGGGTTTGTGCACTGGACTCCGTTTACATACACTGCCCTTGGTCTGTGCCCTTCAGTGTAGGTGGCAAAGAGACGCGATTAATTATGCACAAATCGTGATTTCTGGTGTCACATTCCAGCGCTCTCGGCTCTTGGGAAACTCTTTGTCAGGTAGGTGGTCCTAGCTATTGACTGACAGCTTATCGCTGTTATTAAAGAAAATGCTGTTACGTGTGAGGTTAGGAATCTTTCGGCACCCTTTTCAGAGCAGCAACATTTTAGAAAGTTTGGAGCTCTCGACTCCAGTACTCTAATCCTCACTGAATTCTTGTTTTGCAGAAGACTACCATGTATTAGAGCAAAAATATTTCTCTAAAAATAAAAAATAAAAACAGGGTAAACTGGTAGTAACATGTTGACTTGTTTTTTTTTTTTTTTTTTTCTCCTCCATCCACCACATGTAAGAATGTAAGAAAGAGGAAGAAGGCAGAATCCGGGCAAAGCTACGTAGTGGGGGAACAGTATTTTTCCCTTCAATTAATGATTAATTCCTCAGCTGGTGGGCCAGGCAATCTCTGACCTCCACGTGACAGCCATGTGCCGCAGGGTTTCTCTCTAGGGAGGCAGAGTCCGGTGGCGAAGAGGTGGTAAGATCCGGGCACCTCAGTGTGGAGGCTGCAGAGGGACGCTGCCCTGCAGGGAAATCTGCGCGAGCCCTACGGTGCCGCCTGCGAGTCAGTGACAGAGTTCGATTGGCGACTCGCCTCCGTTATTAAGCCTGGAAGTGATTTACTATCTGAGTCCCCCCGCAGTTCGAGCCTCTTGATGTACTGTGTGTGCATGTGTTTCTGTCACATACGTGCCACAGCGGAACAGATTTTGTTTTGACACTTTTGGTTCATGATGTTATACTCTTGAGTATTTTACAATAATAGCCAATGTAAACAAACATCTCTGGGATTCTCAAATTATTACTTATGATTCTTGGACATTGCATCTCTGCGGTACTGACGCATTCTTAGCTTTTTCCAAGGACACCGTATGTTAGCGCCGGTGCCAGCCTCATTATCCCACAGAAAGGCCCTGGGCTGGATGATAACGAGCGAGCGCTGTGCAGCTTCGCTCCACACACTGGCAGCTAGCAACAACGCGCGAGCGCCTTCTCCCAGGACCATTCTTGTACCCTGATATAGTAAAATTGCTAAATATGGTGAAAGCTCTCTGGCGTTTCTTTCTCTGGCTGCCACGCCAGAGTCCAGTCTGCCGGGCTGCGCTGAATCCGATTTTGTTGGCACACTACCCCGTTTTTGCATTCATTTAAAGATCATTTTAAGGGGATTGTGAAACTGCGTAAGTCAATGGCTTGAGCAAAGGCCGGAGTTACTAGTGAGCCTATCACAGCAAGCCCGGGTTGACGCTTCCTGAAATTATGTTTTGGGGACCCGGGATGGGTCCTTTTTCGGGGCGGCTTATAACGGCATATAGAAATCTGCCAATTGGTGTGGATGTGGATTTTCATCTGAGAGCCCTGAAGTTCAAATGGTCCCGGCTGCAGGACGCGCCCAGCTGCAGTAAGGGCGGGATCCGTGGGTGGTGGGAAGGTGTGAAGGGCTTCCGGCGAGGGGGGGTGCCGGTGGTGGAAATATTGGCCGCCCCAGCTACCCACTGGGACGCCCCCCACTTAAAGCAACAGCCCCGCTTTGGAGTTCCCCGAGCCCAGACTCCCCCTCCCCGGTCCCCCACCGTGTCCAGGCCACGCGCGGTAATCAGAAGCAGGTCCGGGCCCAGCCTCCTTGGCTACTATCCCTGCGCGATGCCACGGGGAGGGGGCGCGCGGAGCCGGCGCGGCGGGGGCGAGTCTCAAGGTCCTCTCCGCACATCTGGCGCAATTGGGAGCTCTCGCCTTTCTTCCCCTCGGTTTTGTTCTCACAGCTGTGTCCATTCCGCCCGTGACCCCCCGAGTGATCCCTGACAGGTGATGAATTGGCAGCAGCGGCGGCGGCGGCGGCGCGCGGGCCAGGCCGCGGCGGGGCCGGAGCCGGAGCCCCGGAGCAGACTCTCTGGCGCCAGGCGCGTGACGCCGCCCATTCACGCCGCCCTGCAGCCTTGTCCTCGCGGCGCCGCTCAGGCGGCTGCCATGGCAACGGCGCCGTCACTCAGCGCGCGCGCCCAGCTGATCAATGCCTGCAAGGCCCGGCGGTCCCAGGCTCGCCCTGACCGGGCCGTCAGCCTGCGCGCACCTGCAGCCTCTGCACGTCTTAAGTTTCGAGTGATTTGGGGGAAGGAAGGAGGACCGAGAAGAAAAGAACAGGAGAAAGGGTGTGGGTGTGTGTGTGTGTGTGTGTGTGTGTGTGTGTGTGTAGGGAGTAGGAGATCGAGGGAGGGAAAAAAAGCCAGGAGAGGGAGAAGAAAGGGCTCTGCCTTGGCAAAAGGGGGCGTTAATGTGGCTTGGACATTGCCAAAGCAAAAGGTTTTGCTTTATTTCATTTGTTTTTGCAACAGAGGCGTGGAGCTGGCGGGAGGGTAAAAGTGGATGCGAAGGAGGCCACTGTCTCATCGCTCGGCAGGATTTATTTATTCTCCTGGATCTTCTTGGTCCTTGCCTGGATGGCTTTGACTCAAAAACAAAAATCTTTGAAGGACCCCCTATCCTCGACATCTCCCTCCTCACCTCATCCTATTGACATTCTCTTAGGAACCCTTAGTGGTTATGCAAAAAAAGCATCAGACTTTTCCAGGACAGCCCCACCCCCACCCTGAAAGATGGTGGGATACCCTGCTGCCTGAGGTCTTCTGGCTCCTCTGCTTCTCAGCGTGCTGCTCCCGCATCTGCGCGCTCATTTCCGCTACAAAAGCTCAGGGGAGTGTGGGGGGCGGGGGGGTGGGCGAGCCCCTTCACAGTGCTGAGTTTTCGCCTGACATCACCAAAGCGTCCAGAAACTTGAAAGTCAGTCTGGAGAGGCTGACACCTCCTCTCTCTGTCCCGGGTTTTATCTCCAGGGAAAGTTCCCTTTTAGGAACCAGATGCCAACATTTCCGGATAGTTTATGACACCCGGATCCCTCAAGGGTGCCCATCCACGGCTGAGATTGTTAGCGGCCGTTATTCATTCCCTGCCCAGTAGAAAAGATCCCAAATACAATCGTCCTCTGCTGGCCCTAAAACCCAAGGGTGGGGGTGGGGGTGGGGAGTGTTTGGGATTTGGGGAAGGGGGTGAGGCGCACCATGGGCTGGGGCTGTTATCTGGCTTGTCCGGGTTTGTAGTGGTTTTCGAGGAAAAAGCATCTGGGTTGCATAAGGATTCGAGTTTTTGCTTTACGTGTTTATTTAATACCTTGGCAAGAGGGAGCCCTTATCCTGCAACCAGATAAACCTAATTTGGGTTTTAAAAGGCCTTAGATGAGGGGCGATAGGATTGAAGGAGAATGAGCAAAGCAAACAAGAGGAAGTTTATTTTTCTTTTTGGGGTGTGTGTGTGTGTGTGTGTGTGTGTGTGTGTGTGTTTGTGTATGTGTGTGAAGACTTGCCTAACCTCTTACACTTCGTGCCACACATAGCTAATAAATGGCATTAGCGAAGCGCCTGCCGCTGCTGCTACAATGGCTTAGCTTTAAATTGGCCCGCCCTCGCTCTGCCACAATTCCGGCCGTAACTCCTTCTAGGATTCCCGCACGGTGCTGTTTACCTGCGAGCACAGGTTTTGTTGGCTTTTTTGTTTGTTTGTTTAAAAAAAAAAAGCCCTGCCAAATTCAATTGCTTGCTACCTTCTGATCCCCCTTTTAGAAGATCATTTTCCAGGCAGGTTCAAAAAAAGCTTGGGAAGTTTGGTGGAAGGGTCCGATTTAACTACGGAGCGCCACAAATATTTTTGTTACCAATACTATGAAGTGCCCCTATTTGCGGTCACATTTGGCATTCACAAAGGATTTTCTTGGAACTTTTATTCCGGTCACCAAATTAAAAAAAGAAAATTAACTGGATGGAGTGATACGGTCTTGGAAAACAATCTCTGGCCGCCTGCGAACTGGCGAGAGCCGGGGCTGGCGTCGCCGAGTCTGCACCGCCGTGAGGCGCGCACCGCAGGTCGGGCCACCACGGGAGCCGGGGTCACCGCGGGGACCCCAGGCCGCAGCCCGCTGGGCGCCCCCCAGTTCGCCGCGCCGAATCAACGCAGCGCCCAGGCCACCCGCGTCTGCCCACTGGCGTCCGTGGGAACCCGCAAGCAGCCTGCAACAAGGGCG